TTAATTGCGTTGAGGATCCATATTGAAGCCTTATAAATAAATTCTCTATTTATCCTCTGTCAACTTCTTTTTCCACCGTTTAAATCGTAGTGTCTGCAGTGTGTTGACCTTCCATACTACACGAGCATGATTAATCTTGTAAGAAAACAAAAATACATATGTGTAATTGTACAGTAGATAGCAGTATGATGGAAAATATTTTTACTTTTCAAATTTCTTTCAGATTTCAATACAGTTTAAAAGACTAAATTCTGATTGTTGTCAGACATTGGTAGAAATTAGAAATAGAAAATGAATGGGCCAAAGAAATAATAAGATATCGTCAAGTAAATGGGCGCTGCTTTGATATACATGTAGTAGGGAATCTGGATTTGGAAACGCAATATAATGCATTTTTAGTATTGAGAGTAGCTATTCGTAATGACCAGTTGCCTTCAATTAGTGACGTAATATTTTGAATGGCTTAATATTTATATTAAGACCATAATGATTCACAAATATGTAAAGCCTGTATTCTAATCCATTTAAACAAAAACCAAAGGCTAAGACTGAGTTGTATGGAAAAGATAGTTGGTCTATTTAATATTTTTGAACCACTATAGTTGGTAAGATGCGTTTTATTGAATTGATGTTATCATGGGCGTCACACATGGAGGGGAGGGGTCTGAATATACTTGGACCCCCCCCCCCTCCCCACAATTTTCTAACTCCTATTTAAGTATTAAATAGACATGATCAAATGTAGATTAAATATAAACAGAATTAGTAAAAAGAAAGATTGAGCTTCATTGTCTCGTTAAAGGGCATATGGATCTAATTTTTCAAATCTTAATGAAATAGACGAAAATAGTTCAAAAAGCAATGTAATATGAATTAATATGTAATATGTAATATGAATGCATGTAAAGTGATTTATATTTAATTTTCGAAAACTATACTATTCAAAAAAAGTAGGGGATATTTGATTTTGGGGGCATAATACTAAAATATGCAAATGACTACGAAAAAAGTCACTATAGAACCTAACAGAAGAAACATTTCCAGTTACATGTGACGCCCAAACGCACCAATAGCTACCGCATGGAATGCAGGTGATGCTTGGGATCATCATGGGGGTCCAACCCAAGATTTGCACGACTCTGACTTTGAATGTTACAGTCATTGTGGCATTGAATTCCAGGGTGGAAACATCAGTTTAATTGTTTTAGTGACCAGAAAACAAATTTTGATATGCGTCGGCTTACCCAAAATGAAAGGTTACGTGCCCTTGGCATGCTACAGATCGGCACAACACAGGCGGTTGTGGCGCGGACGATGAATGTTTCTCAGTCTGTCATAAGCAGGCTATGGTCCAGATACCGTGATACACAATCTGTACAGGACAGACCACGCTCAGGTCGACCAAGGGCGACAACTCAAGCCCAGGATCGATTTATCCGTACCTTGGCCTTGAGAAATCGTGTCATCACAGCAAATCAGATCAGCGCTCGTCTTCAAACAGACACTGGTGTGAGAGTGAGTGGCCAGACGATTCGGAATCGACTGCATAGGGGTCACCTTCGCGCCCGACGTCCTCGCGTGATCCCTTGTTTGAGAGATCATCACATTCAGGCAAGACGTCGTTGGTGTAGGGATCGTCAACACTGGGATAATCGACGCTGGAGCAATGTGATGTTTTCAGATGAGTCAAGGTTCACTGTTGATTTTTTGGACAGACGTAGGAGGGTGTGGCGTCGTCGAAACGAGCGCTTCCAAGACGTTAACGTCATCAGACATGATCGATTTGGGGGTGGTTCTGTTATGGTGTGGGGAGGCATCACTGTTGCTGGAAGAACGGCTTTACATGTTGTTGCAGGGCGTGTTACAGGCCAGTACTACCGGGACAACATCTTGGCAGTCCATGTTGTGCCGTTCGCACGACGTCATGGCCGCCGTTTCATCTTCCAAGATGACAACGCAAGATGTCACAGGGCCAGGATCGTTACAGGTTACCTCCAACAACAGAACATCACCACATTACCTTGGCCAGCACTGAGTCCCGACCTCTCCCCCATCGAGCATGTCTGGGACATGCTTGGACAGAGGTTACGTCAACGTCAACAACGTCCTGCCAATGTCCAAGAACTTGCTGCTGCGTTGCAACAGGAATGGGACAATCTGGACCAAAATGACCTTAGACGTCTCATTAGGAGTATGCCACGTCGGATCAATGCTTGTTTGGCAAACAGAGGAGGATTTACCCGTTACTGACTTGGTTGTGATGCTGTGGTAACTTTGCTGTTTGACCTGGGGTATCATTTTACCCTTATAATGGTCAGTCTGTGCCTTACTTAGTCTAACGATCATTTGGAATAAATCGATGAATGTGAACTTCATTTCATTTTGTCATTTGTTTCTTCGTCAGTTTCATTAGGTGACTTTAATAACACTTAAAAATCAAATATCCCCTACTTTTTTTGAATAGTATATATTGAAATTTCTAATCAATTATGTTCGATGAAACACGTGAACAGTTCAAATTTGCGCCTGCTTAATCGATTCCACACGCTTTTTCGTTATTATTTTGTCTTCTGTGAATCAACATTTAATAATTACTACCACATTGTTTTGTAGAATATGTTTTTATTTGTTCATTACAAAGTGGCACCCGAAACCATAGAATACACTACTTGCGTACGGATTATAAAATGTTAATTGTATCTTAAATACTGGATATTAGGATCCTATACTTTCACGGCAAGATAACACCAATATTTATTGAAATTGACCAATATTGAATTCTAACTCGTGTTTTGAATTTTGAATATTATGGAAAATATTAAGTTAGAGATTTAGTGACTTTCATTTGCTTTTGAAATGCAATGAAATGGGGTTTAACGTCCTACTTTTCTGCTCAAACAGGGCTAATGAAGATGGCCATTCACCATGCAAAGTGCTATGAGGGTAATTTTGCCCGGACACCAGTGCTACTGTCTACTCTTGTATGGAATTCCAACTGTCTGGTGTTCATGTAAGTGTTTGCCAGTAAGTACACGGGACCTCGTGTTTTCTTCCTTTCCAAATGACTCCACATTATCCCTTGCCAGGCCCTTCGTCCTTTCTCGGTCAACACAGGGACCAAACACAGGACCTCCATGTTAGCGAGCCAACATCTCATACTCAATCAGACATATACATGAATTGTATGTAATTTGCCATTTTCTATGATATTTATGTTTCATTTATTTTTTAACAGCCTGTAATCCTGGTGCTTGTATATTATGCAATAAATGTTTCATTTATGTACAAAAGTTTCATTTTATGTTTGTTTTTTAATGAGAAAAGGGTTCTATATCAATTTATAACTTCTGCAATAGTGCATATTTCTTAGCGAACCAATATCTTACACTCACTTAGCCACTGTGACTGTGAAAATATTTTGTATATATTATTTAATATTTTACCATTTTCTCTAAAGTTTATGTTTCACTAGAAGAATGCCCAGCTTCGCTTGGGGGTCATAACCCCGAAACCGGAAGTGGTAGACTATCGCCACCTGGCCTATGTTACTCCCCGGTCCGAGCTACCCCTATACCCCAAATTTCAGACTCGGGGCAGACCTAGTGTAGCCGCCAACCCCGAACAGACAGACAGACAAACAGACAGACACTCGACAGTCACAAATAGTAGTATAGATTTGTTATTTAATAACCCGTATTCCCTGGTGCTTGTACATTATTCCATGGGTGCTCTTTTATGCACGACTTTCATTTTATATTTGTTTTTAAATCAGGAGAAGGTTCTATATCAATTTATAAATTCTAGAATAGTGCATATTTCTTTGGTTAGTTCTGTGTATGTTAGTTATTTTTAGATGCCTCACAAACTACTTGTAATATGACTTTAAACCCTGTAAATATGTTGTAAAAGTCTATGGTATTGCATTCTGTCATTCTATAACACAATTGTATATTAGTATTGATTTGGCAGTATTATTTATGTTGTCCTATCATTTAATGAATAAATAATAATTTATCAAACAAATTTATTGTTATGTCATTTATCAAACATTACAGTTTAAACAGAACAAAAGGAAAGGGTGCTGCATGCCAAATGTTGCTATCTAAACTTGATATAAATTGGGAAAATTCAAAATAAGTTTGTATGAAATAATACAAGTTTCATAAATTTTAACACAGGTTTCATAAATTTCAACATAAGTTTCATAAATTTCAAGACAGGTTTGCGTTGTTTCAAACACAAGGTTTTTTTTTCAGTGTATAAGGTTCTGATTATAAATGAAATAAAATGGGGTTTACCGTCATACTGTTCTGCTCCGAACTGAGCTAATGAGAGAGAAATGGGGTTTAACGTCCACTCGACTCAAACTAGGTCATTTCGGGACTAACATATGGTTTAATTTTATTTCAATAATTTGCTTGCGCGTATAGGGGTCCTTCGCAGTGGGAGGAAACCGGAGGACCCGGAGAAAACCTACGAGGTTGGACAGGTGCCCTTGCTCCTTGTCACTTACAACCGGGGATTCGAAACCACGCCAGTTGACTAAAAAATGACAGGCTTTATGATACAGCGCGCACGTGCTAACCATTCGGTCACCCCCCCCCCCCCCCCGAGCTAATGAAGACGGGCATACGCCATACAGTGTGCTATGAGGAAAATTTTGCACGGACAGCGGCACTACGGCCTACACTTATATCGAATTCCAACTGTCAAGGGATATTTTACGTGCACGCCAATGTGTACACGGGATCTCGGTTTTTTGACCCATCCGAACAAAGAAGGGGGGGGGCAGAAAATCTGGGATCGAAACCCGACCTACAGACTAGCGAGCCAGCATCTTACCCACTTGGCCAACGTGACCCCCGCACTGATTATAAGGTTTGGGGTTTTCTTTATGAATTAATAATAAAAGGGAGAATAATTTTCTAATCGATCGGTTACAATTTAAAGGATTTTCGATAATCGCTCAAGCTACACAATAATGTTATAAATTTCCTTACCTGATTATTAACGCCTGTATAATAATCCTTCAAAACATACATTATTAAAAGGACTAGTGCAACTGCAATCACTACCTTATTTACCTTATCATTCATTTTACTGTCGAGTTATTGCTAGTTAAAATAACTTATTCCCGACCAAAGAGCTATAAAGCTCAGTATAATGTGTACAGGGATGTATTAATGATGTGACAGGTCGGGTAAGAATGATTGATATAATTCTTGGCTCACACAAATTTTACAATACGTGAAGGGGCGGTTACAAAGAGTTGCCCCTCCCCCTTTCCTTTGTCTACTGACATTTTTATAGGTCTTCACGCAATATGTCGCCTTTTGGGCTTAACCAGGCATGTTTATATATTATATACATCTCGATGGGAGTATCGCTGTTTACAATATTACCTAGCAAACACAGTGGCTCAGTCAGTAAGATTCCTTAATCGGTACTAATCAGCGAGGTTTCCCCTTGTTAGATTGGCAACTATCGTGGTTGGTGCATAACAGTAGGACAGGCATACGTCATACAGTGTCCTGAGGGAAATTTTGCCCAGACAGCGGCGCTACGGCCTACTCTTATATCAAATTCCAGCTGACAATGGATCTTTTACGTGCGCGTCAATGTGTACACGGAACCTCGGTTTTTCGTCACACCCGAACGACTATACGATGTCGCTTGCCAGGTCATCCCGATATGAATTTTCTCGGTCAACACAGGGATCGAACACGGAACACCCACCGATCCACCGTGGCTTCCAATAGTGGTTGGTAAGATCAACTTCTCTTATGATACAACATGCGCAAATAAAATGATGTTAAAGTCGTTTTACGGGCAGGTGTTGGAAATTCCTAACATAAATCAATAACATAAATCACTGTCTAAAATTGTATGGAAACGTGATAATGTTGTTTGTCCCCCGCCAAAATCCCAAAATAAATAGATGACACATATTAATAATCGCACATTTTTTTTTTTTCAAAAGTATCAAGCAATCAAACGAATTATCAACTATACACTAAGTTTCATCACCCTCTATCGGATAGAATCAAATTGCTTATCTCTGCTTACCCTAAGTAGAAAATGCCCATTTTCGAACTCCATCAAGGCATTCACCTAATGAACACCTACACCATGTTTGAACGTTCTAGCTCAATTAGAAAGAGAGTTATTGTGTTCCAAAGTCTTGACCAATCAAATTGCATATCGCTCTGCTTGCCCTGAGTAGAGAATGCTTATTATCGAGCTTAGTCAAGGTAATGATGAAATGAAACTATACGCCAAGTTTCATCACTCTCACTTAATTAGAACTAAAGTTATTATGTCCCAAAGCATCAACCAATCAAATTTCTTATCTCTGCTTACCCTAAGCAGAAAATGTTCATCTTCGAACTCAATCAAGGCATTGGCCTAATAAACACCTACACCAAGTTTGAACATTCGAGCTCAATTAGCCCGTCTTCATTAGCCCAGGTTAGGAGCAGAACAGTAGGACGTTAAACTCCATTTCATTTCATTTCATTTCAGAGCTCAATTAGAAAGACAGTTATTGTGTACCAAAAAGTGTGACAGGCGGATGAACCCATTACAATAATAGGAAAAGTACGGGGGATAAGGGGTCACCTTGCTTAACGCCTGTGTAACTTTTGAATCTCTCTGATTGAGTGTTTTTGAATCTGATTAAATTATTTACTTGGTTATATATAGAAGATATTATTATGATGAACTTAGCGACAACACCTATTGAGTCAATTTTCAATAGTAGTAACGGTCTATTGACTTTATCAAACGCCTTACTTAAATCGAGAAAGGCGCAGAATAATTTATGTTGATTGTCTAAAGAATGATGTATAAGGCCACAAAGAATAAAACGTGCATCGACAGTACCGTTACCCCCTCTAAAGCCAAATTGAGTATCATCTATTATCTCATTAGTTTTGCACCAATTGTATAACCTATGGTTTAGAATAGTGGAAAATAGTTTTGAAAATATAGACATAATGAATATGCCTCTAAAATTTTCGCGTGGGTTCAAGTCGCCCTTTTTTGGAACGGGTATTAGTAAGCAATCGTGCCAACATTTAGGATTGCACCCACATAGACGCAGTTAAATATTTTTACCAACTGGGGGGAAATTAAATCAACGCATTCTATAAACAAAACCCGCTACATATTTGATCGATACCGCTACATTTATAACGTTTTAGTTTCTTAGCAACCCTGATTTCTTCTTCATTATTGGTGGATCTAAAGTTTCACATGCCTTATTATTGATTAAATTAGGAAACGTTTCTGTATCAAGAGTAGGCCTATGGCCGTAGATATTTTTAAAGTGCTCAAAAAAGTCTAGACAGTTAAGTTTTGTGTTAAGTTTTATATTATTATTACCCTTTATGACGTTCCAAAATTTCTTAGGATTGTTCTTTGACAATACACACAAACGGTACCCCACCGTCTTACTGAATTTATATAGTAGTAAGGATTCTTATATTGCGCTAAATTCCAGAACTAAGTTCATCTGTATGAACTGTCAAACAGATAGGTCTTTAAATGTGATTTAAACATTGTTAGTGAGGGGGCAGATTTGAGAGATACGGGTAGTGAATTCCACTTGATTGCAGCTGCAACTTCCAAGGTCTTGAATCCGAATGATTTCAATTTCCATGTAGGCACAACTAAGTTAAGTTGAGACTGAGATCTAAGATTTCTTGGTGGTTGGTAAAGTTTGAAAATATCATTCAATTAAGCAGGACCAGTTCCATGATGTAGATGGGATATGATAACAAGCTTTATCAGCTTATATACAATTAAACGCTTCATTAAATTTGCAACTGGCAATCATAATATTATGAAGACATAACTGAGGTATGTGTAGAATAAAACCGTTCAGTTTAGATGATAATTCAAACGGTTTGTGAGGAATTTTACTTTGATGTCTCTACGAACTCATTGATTTGATAACTGATGACACTTATTTTCAAGAGCTTTCCCGTCTTAGAATCTTTTTATTGTTGTTATAATGTATGTATTATTTGTACTTTTAATTGTAACATTGTAAAGCACCCCTGAACACCAATATGAAAGCGGGAATATCTAAATTTTGTAATAATAATAATAACAATAATAGATAGACAGGGGGTGCCCAACCGCGTGGGTTTTCTCACACTGCTAAAGACCCTATACGCGCAAGCGAATTATTAATATAAAATTGAACCATATTAGTCCCGAAATGACCTGGTTTGTGTCGAGTCGATGTTACTCCCCCCTCTCTCTCTCTCTCTCTCTCTCTCCCTCTCTCTCACTCTCTTTCTCTCTCTCTCTCAGCAAGTTTTATAGCAGAAGACAATCCAAATTGTGACTTGAACCCTGCTTTTACTGATAGTTATGAAAGAACTAAAGGGGTTCAAAATCGCAAAAACAAATTTCAGCGCTCTCAAGACCCCCAGGCTCAAACTAAACGGACAAAACTATAAACCCAAACGACGAGTGTTAATTAAGCTAAAAATTAAATTAGTCACCGCTAAAGGAAATGGAGTAGGGTTAACGTCCTACTGTTCGGCTTCGACTGGGCCAATGAAGACGGGCATACTCAACACAGTGTGCTATGAGGGAAATTGTGCCCGGACAGCGACACTACGACCTACTCTTATTTTGAATTCCAACGTTCTACTCACTAAGCCACTGATAATCGTTGATTCGGTTGACGGCTTACCAGATCATCCATATGATAATAATCCTTATGGCGATGGATTTATATAAGTTTCGGCTTGTTTTAAAATCCGGTATGTCAATATTGTATTTTATTACATACTCATATCACACCCCAAATGAAATAGATGTATTGTTAAACCTGGCATGTTGACTTTCTCCTTTTGAAACGTCGTGTAATGTGACATCTTCCTTAGTTACCGAGCTGAAATTTGTACATTTTAGTAACTACGGAAGCCAATATTAAATGCTCTGCTAAAATGTCTTTTCTCTCCACTACTTTTCCTTTTCTATCTTAATGATTTTGCTGATTTTATGAATGCTAACTCTGTTGACCCTGTGTTCATAGGGACTTTAATCATTTCGTGTTTCATGTATGCAGACGACACTACATTATTATCCAAATCATGGCATGGTCTTCAGAATTAGCTGAATAAGTTGTTTGAATATTGTTCTGTTTGGAACCTAACTGTAAATGTCGACAAAACAAAAATTGTTGTATTTGAAAAGGGTAATCAGCTTGGCTTATCTAATTACAACTTTGTATATAATGATAGTGTTGTGGAATGTGTACGCTCCTTCAAGTATTTGGGAGTCACATTCTCCTCTGATGGCAAATGGGAAATTCATCAGGAATTAGTGGCAAAAGCAGGGTCAAAAGCCCTGTATAGCCTTTATAATATTTTTGATCAAGTTAATGTTAACGTCAGACAGCAGTTGTTTTTATTTGATTGTTATGTAGAATCCATTCTTTCGTATTCATCCGCAGTTTGGGGTCTTAATAGATCCCAAGATATCGAGAGATTACACTTGCAATTCTGTAAACGAGTTCTTGCTCTTCGTAAATCTAGACCAACTCCAGTTCTTTATGGTGAGCTGGGTAGGCCCCCTTTAAAAGTCCGTCGACTACAAGAAATTATTAAATATTGGTGCCATGTCATTAAAGACCACGACTCGCTTGTTTATAAAGTATATTCTGATCTGTGCAGTTGTTCCGGATTTTCAACTAAACGAAAAAATGTGTATAACTGGGCTCATCAAGTTAAATCATTACTCGATAATCTAGGTTTATCAGTTGTGTCGTTTACCCAAACCTGGTCCTATAATGCTTCGTATACGTGATCAATATATACAATCCTGGGAGGGGAGCCGTAGAAACTTATCTAAACTAAAGTATTATAACCTATTTAAAAATGAATTCTGTTTTGAAAACTATTTAAATTATTGTATACCAAAGCAGACTTAGGTGTACTTCACATGACCTATTTATTGAGAAAGGTCGATATTATAAAATGTTAGCCCAAAATAGAATATGTGAATTATGCCATGAGTCTGTAGAAGATGAATTTCACTTTACACTTTGTTGCAAATCTTTAAACCACTTAAGAACAAAATATATCCCCAAATTTTATTCACTTCGCCCAACTGTTTATAAATTTAATGAATTACTGTCTACAAATAATGGAAATCTTCAAGTTAAATTATGTAAATATGTTTTTGAAGACTTCAAACTTCGCAAATCATTACACTAACTGAGCTGATACTTCTATATAATTTCATGTTTTGTTTATTTTTTGGGTTTTTTTTTATGTTATATGTGTTACCATTGTTGTACTGTGTTTAAAACCCTATGCGAATAAAAAAACTTGAAACTGGATTATAATATGTAAAAAGTACAATATATAAAGTCATAGATCCGGTAATAATAAAGTCAAAATACCTCTAAGGCCAAAAGTAAAAGTAAAACGTCAAATGCAATGTGTCAAATGATAAATGTTTTATTGGAAAATGCTGGGGGGGGGGGGGGTTATTGGGGGAGGTCGCGCCAACATTTTACATTTCACTCATTTCATTTTACATTTGCTCTCTGCCGCATCTCATTTGTTCTTCACGTTTTCTACAGAGCGTCTAACGCACAGCACTATCTTTGATATACAAATGTAGGATATCAAGTAACTAATTAACTGGCACACTATAAGCCAGCACACTATAATTAGTTTTACTTAACCTTTACAAACGATGAAATTTGGATGGTACTAAACTCTATTACTATGATTACAAAGGAGGGGGGGTGTATGGAATATCAAAATATGGGCCTTAATACGAAAAGCGCATTCATTTTTTTTTCTTTGTGTGTGTGTGTGTATACATGTAAATAATTGTCTGGTACATTCCTATTTTCGAGTTGTAACAACACGAGTGACCATGAAACAACTTAAAATACAGACACTCGCACGTGCTTTGCAATGAAATATGCCACACGGGTCCAAAATTTTAACTAGTATAAATAATGTACACTTGGCGCATTGTCGTACCATTATTTGAAATAATGATACACCAATATCAAAGGATGACGTCACATCTGTATTTTAACCTCTATTAAGTGACTGTGAATTCTAATTTGTGTTTTTAATTTTTCGAATATTATGGAAAATATTGAGTTAGAGGTTTAGTTCCTTTAAGGAAACTTGCGACTATGCAAGGTAAAATCTAACGACGCCTATCTAAGAACTATTTTTTGTTACGTTTTCCTAATCAGACAACCTACGACCATACCACAATGTCAGGCGGAGAACAGAGACTCATATCAAGCTGCGTCGTACAGGCGAGCTACATGACATGATGAAGATCACAGACTTAGCCGAAGTTTGCCGAAAGGTGCTCGAGAAAAATAGAAATTGTTTTTCCAAAATCAAAATTATAAATCATTTTTCAAAGTTATGAGTTCAATCTCGAGATTGCACAAGCCAATTGTTTCATGCATGGACATTTTTTAATCCATAAATTATAGTAAATGGCCTAGCGTCATTCTATACATACCATGCTAGTAATATCATCTATCTATATATATATATATTTGAGACTGTCGTTTGTCTGTCTGTCTGTTCGGGGTTGGCGGCTACACTAGGTCTGCCCCGAGTCTGAAATTTGGGGTATAGGGGTAACTCTGACCGGGGAGTAACATAAGCCAAGTGGCGTTAGTCTACCACTTCCGGTTTCGGAGTTATGACCCCCGAGCGAAGTCTGTCTGTTCGGGGTTGGCGGCTACACCTGCCCCGAGTCTGAAATTTCGGGTATAGGGGTAGCTCGGACCGGGGAGTAACATAGGCCAGGTAGCGTTAGTCTACCACTTCCGGTTTCGGAGTTATGACCCCCGAGCGAAGCCGGTCTGTTGGGGGTTGGCTGCTACACTAGGTCTGTCCCGAGTCTGAAATTTGGGGTATAGGGGTAGCTCGGACCAGGGAGTAACATAGGCCAGGTGGCGTTAGTCTACCACTTCCGGTTTCGGAATTATGACCCCCGAGCAAAGTCTGTCTGTTCGGGGTTGGCGGCTACACTAGGTCTACCCTGAGTCTGAAATTTGGGGTATAGGGGTAGCTCGGACCGAGGAGTAACATAGGCCAGGTGGCGTTAGTCTACCACTTCCGGTTTCGGAGTTATGACCCCCGAGCGAAGCCGGTCTGTTCGGGGTTGGCGGCTACACTAGGTCTGCCCCGAGTCTGAAATTTGGGGTATAGGGGTAGCTCGGAGCGGGGAGTAACATAGGCCAGGTGGTGTTAGTCTACCACTTCCGGTTTCGGAGTTATGACCCCCGAGCGAAGCCGGGTATCTTGCTAGTTATTAATATTTTTTAAAACATATTTTAGAGAATAATACGATGGTGAACGCCAGCAAGACGGGCACCCAATATGGCCAATATGAGGCATGGTCTTAAAATCAATGACGTGTACAATTACTGTCATTTTCACACGACACTTTGATGTGAAATGTTAAGCATTATCCTACTTCTCAAAACTTTTCCCAGGTTAGCTCATGGCCCACTATTCATTTACGATTGCTATTCCTAGCGCACTAACCCTTGAATGTCTATCATATTGGCGCAATCTTTGATAGTTTTATGCTTATGGGAGCTCAAGTAACTAATATTTGTAAATTGTGCTATTTTAATATTATAAGTCACTTCGTTAATTCTCTGGTCACTTCTAGATTAGATAACTTTAGTTCACTTTTAGTTGGTTTACCTATAAAGCTTATAGATGAATTACAAAAAGTAGAGAATACTGCAGATAGACTTGTAACTTTAACTAAGAAATGCGATTACATAACCCCTGTTTTATATAATTTGTATTGGTTACCTGTTAAATATCGAATTGATTTTAAGATCTCATTACCTACTTTTAAATGTTTAAATAATTTAGCTCCTGTTTACCTCTCAGATATGGCCCAAAACTGTTTAACTAGTCTCTAATAGTCAGTGCTATTTTAGTTTTTCAAGCACCTGTTTTATGGAATAATCTACCATTTAGTTTAAGATGTTGTACATCTCTATATTCTTTTAAAAAACAACTTAAAACATATTTTATTTAATCAGGCTTTTAACTGACTGTATACAACTGTTAACATGTCCATAATCTTATTGTTTCTTTATGATTATATTGTCACTTAGTAAAGTGCCCCTGAAAGGGCGAACTATACATATGCTAGGATAATAATAATAATAATAATAATAATATCATTTACAGAAAGCACTCTGTGGCATTGAAAGAATTTTTGGATATATCTGATGAAGACCTTGATACAAAGATCATCACTCTTCTCCAAAGCAATCGTCGATGTGGAGCAAATTCAGTGAGAACTCATTTACAGAATATTAGAACTTGGCTCCCAAGAGAGAGGGGGTTCGGGTAGCATGAGACGTGTAGTTCCAGCAGCTAGGCGTTGTTCACATAGAGTAATAAAGAGTAGGACGTACAGAGTGCATGGACCAAATTCACTTTGGCACATCGATGGTAATCACAAGTTAATAAGGTTTGTTTTAAAAATGTTCTAATCATTTTCTGCGAATTTGAACATTTCTTTTCACCGACACCTTAAGGGGAAGTATCCCAAACCAAAAAGTAAGTGATGGTCCTACCAGAAAATCTAAAATCTGGAAAGGACTAACAGCATAAACAACTGTAGCCTAGCTCCAAATAAAATGAAATGGGGTTTAACGCCCTGCTGTTCTGCTCTAACAGGCTTAACGAACAACACGGTTAACGAAGACGAGCAGCTGCACTACTACGGCCTACTCTTATATCGAATTCCAACTGCCAAAGGACCTTTTACGTGTACGTGACCCATTCGAACGACTACAGGTCTAATGAAGACGGGCATACGCCATATAGTGTGCTACGAGGAAAGTTTTGCTCGGAAAGCGGCGCTACGACCTACTCTTATAATGAATTCCAACTGCCAAATGACCTTTTACTTGTAGTCAAACGACTATACGTTGTACTTTGTCAGACCCTTTGTCTTGCACCACTGACAAAGCGGAACAACGCCGGAAAATCTGGATGCATTTTCTCGGGTAGTGCTGGGATCGAACACCCTAGCCTTACCCGCCTAGTCACGTGGCTCCCAGCTTGGCTCCAACAGTCATCCTGCAAAGTTGGAATGAAGTTGTGCATGAAACAACGAAATGATGACAGGTATATCTACGAACAATATGGCCTTAGCTCCTTCAGCAACTTGTTTATTATTTTACAGATGGTGGATTGTGGTGCATGGTGCTGTTGATGGCCTCCACAAACAACCGAGCATCAACAGTTTTGTAGCAGTAAACCAGTATGGTGTGCCCCCGCGTATTCGTGTAGATAAAGGAGGAGAAACTGAATCCATTTGCCAACTGATGGACGATAGAAAAGGAACTAATCAATGCAGTGCAATTCGTGGACGAAGCTTTCACAATCAGCGTATTGAAAGGTTATGCTTAGAGGAGTGGAATAACACCGTAAATGTGTTTTACGATATCGTCCCTGCATTTGACAGGGATTTAGTTCTGAACCCTAACGGTGAAGAACAGATCTTCACTATGTATATCATCCACGGATTCAGAAATCATTGGATACATTCATCAGGCAGCATAATCACCACAGTTATTTGCCTCTCGGTCAATGGAACTACATTGATTAACACATACAGCAATTAGAGATATATTTGTCAATGTCGCGATGCTGTGGAGGGGGGGGGGACGAGAGACTCAAGCTGAAAGTGATGTGGACGATACTGTCTTAACTATTGTTAATGTTCCAGATATCAGAAATCCCCTATCAGATGATGATCTTCTGGAGCTGACAACCCTTTCTAATCTTGATGCTGAAGACCCGGGCCCTGTTTCACGAAATTTTAACTAAAGATAAAATCCAAATTTTAGTAGATACAAGGCGATTAGGGGCGGAGCATAGTTACAAACCTGTATTTTGCGAAACGGAACGACCAACCCGACAAGAATACCCCAAACTGTAATTTGTAGAACAGGATCAAACGGAACAACCTCGTCTATTTTGGTGATTTTAAAAACTTGAAAAATAATATTTTTCGGTCAATACTAGAACAGTTATCATCGAAATTTAGTCGTATTTTGTCGTCCCCCCCCCCGTCCGTCCGTATGTTGTTACTCTTAATCAGATTTTAGTCTACTGTGTTTCATTACTGACACAAAAAAAAGATATATGCGAAAAATTGTATTTACTGTCCGGTTGACTTCGCTACTGTGGTCGTATGTTTCGTTGCCTTTCAAATTAAAGTTGCTTTTATAAACATGTGTAGCTTGTTCCGTAAGGATGCGTTTGTCCCGTTCACAGAATTGTTTCAATGAAAATACGAACCTGACATAGGATTATTTTTCTGTTTTCTAAAAGGATGTACCATACTCATGAATATACCTTTATATAGTGGGTTTTCAAAGTATATAAATAATTCTTAAAGATACATTATGGGAGATAAGATAAAGAGATGGCAGTTCTCGCTATAATAGTTAAAAACTAGATAGTGTAAAGGTAATTTGCTGAAAATTTCAGTCAAATTGATCCACTATGAGCCGAGAAAGAAGCGGGTGAAATTTTTGCATAGTCTCGGTCATCATTACTAAAATCATTAATATAAAAAACATAGTCTCGATTATCCACTTTTTTAATTTAATTATCAATAGCCGTTAGCGGCATATAGGAATCTAATCCAGCCAACATCGAAGGCTAGTCCTAACATCGAGAGTTTATTATGGTCTGGATAAGTTAATTAATGTCTAATTGATAATTTAGATAACATTTCAGGCCTAAAGAAAGACTTGTAATAAGCAGATTTTGCTCTTGCATAATGCATGTTTAAGAATTCCATTACTAACTGCACATTGAATAATCTTTTTTAATGCTGGTTCGACCAGGAATTGTTTACCACCGTTTACTTTTAACAGATACCCATTACAAAGCAGGGTATTTGCTTTTAATTACATTTAAACCAGCGGTTACAATGCAAGATACGCCCACACTGCAGAATGAACAAAATAAATTTCTACTAGCTATCTGAAGCTGGGTAAAGCAAATAAGTTCAGTATGTTTTTTATATATCAATGGTTATTATGCTCAATGCACCTTATGACAGTTTATATAATTGTCACTCATTTGTACAACTGGGCGAAGCGATGTTAAAAAAACATTCTTAAAAATAGTTGCAATATAATTTGTTCATGCCTCGAGACTTATTTATAATCGTGGGAACAGGCAGTATTATGAAACCCGGTAAGCGGAAAGCTAACTAAACAACAGCGATATTGCAAGTTTATACAGAATTTCGGCTATTAATAATAGATCCCCTCTGTAACGACGTACCGCGATTTGGTTTGTTACATAATTCCCATCCGTGGAATAATCTTTATTTTGAAGGTTTTGATGTTTATAATAACAAACAAAGGCAACGTTGACATTTCTTCTGAGTAGATCTTCATTATGGTGGCTGTTAGCGGGCATTCAAAAGACGGGCATACAGTGCGCTATGACGGAAATTTTGACCCCGATTTTGAGTATGATTTTGTCTGACAGGTTTATCATTGAACCAAACTGCATTGGTTTCTTTTGCAATTTGTTTAGGGTAAAACGTTATCCATCCCCGCTTAAAGGCTCAATACCACTCTTATTGTAACTGAATAATATGTCCCAATCTTTATTCTGGTCAACAAATTGTACTATTTTAGAATATTTCAATTAATTGATGATACTAATTTCATCTTAACACACCTTATTTGAAAATTTAGAAAAATTCAACATAATGGTTTCAAACGTCTAACGTAAACCTTTTCAAATGAAACTTCGATTTAAAAATATTTTCGAACCCTTTGGACAAGTAAAATAGGATGTAATGGATAATTTACACAACAGGTAGGACACTTAAACATCTAGTACATAGATAGAGATATTATTTATTTTCTGGAGCTTTCAAGCCAGCAAGAGTGTTATTGTCCCTTTAATACTGCAAGAAAAAAACAAAAAACAAAACGTTTTGTTAAACATACATTATGCAAGAGCTAAATCTGCCTATTGTAGGTCTTTCTTTAGGCCTGAAATGTTATATAAACTATTAATTAGACATTAATTAACGTATCCAGACCATAATCAACTCTCGATGTCAACGCTAGCCTGCGATGTTTGTTGGATTATGATACGATTTGCTGCATAACTTTCCTTCTCGATTTAACGATTAAATGGATAATCGAGACTATGATTTTTGACTTACCGACTTTAGTAATGATGACCGAGGCTATGCGGAACTTTCAATCACTTATTTCTCGGTTCATAGTTGATCAATTTGACTGACATTTTCAGCAAATTGCCTTTACATTATTTAGTTTTTAACTATTATAGTGAGAACTGTCAACTCGTTATCTAATCTCCCATAATGTATCTTTAAGTAGCCTAAAGCCGTATAACGCTATGACTCCATAGTTTTTATGGGGTCATAGTTGGGACCCAAAATGGCGCTTGGAAATGAGTTGTCGTAACTTTCCCTATACATATACAGGGAAATGGTCGGTCGGTCGGTCGGTCCTAGAGTTTAACGTCCACTCTCACCAAGGGTGATATAGTAGACAAGGGGAAATGGTGTGTGTGTGTGAGTTAGTTGTATTTTACGTCCGCTTCCACCGAGGTGATAGCCTATAATCTGACATGTTTTTAAATGACATAAATGGCCTGTCGTGTGGCCGTAAAATGCCACACAAGGCATGGGCAAGGGATTCATATGCACAGGTTCCCAAAAAATGCATAAAAGCGCCGATTGTGGGAAGTGAATGTAAAAAAAGTGGGTAAGCTTGGTAAAAATCCTTCCCTGCGTGATGTTAAAAGTAATAGCCCATCATTCGGTTTTATTAAAGATTTCAAGCGATCGTAGCTTGTTGTTCGAAGAGGTTCCTAACCTAATGACATTCACGTTATCGGGGTTTTTTTTAGGGTTTTTTTTATTTTTGGTTTTGTTTTTGTTTTATTTTTGATAAATGAATTTTCGAAGATTTGCTATGAACACGAGAATGACACTTTTGGCAGTGTAGGCCTAAATGGAGAGAGAGGGAGAAATGGGCTTTAACGTCCACTTGACGCAAACAAGGTCATTTCGAGGCATGGTTCAATTTTATTTCAATAATTCGCTTGCGCGCAGGGGTCTTTAGCAGTGGTAGGAAACCGGAGGAACCGGAGAAAACCCATGAGGTTGGACAGGCGACCCTCCTCCTTGTCACATACAACCGGGGAATCGAAACCACACCAGTTGACTCAATAACAGACCGTCTGAAACAGCGCGCACGTGCTAACCATTCGCCCATCCAACCCCCTCCTAAATATAGGACTATACAAAGTATATGATGTTATTTCGATTTAAATTCCATCTGTATGCATAATGTGTTCCTGTTTTGGTCATTTTTTTATAGATTTAATGACTTCATCCATGAATGAATTTTCGAAAACATTTGATGAAACTTGGGAATGACACGTTTGAGTTTGAAACAGTGTAGGTCTATAGTATATATATATAATATTTTACACGATACAACTAATCCATACAACTCATCAGACAAATGGTCGGATGGACAGCTTGTTTTATGGATAGGACCATAGAACTAGAATACTAACGGGAACGCCCACTCGGTGACGTATAACGGTGATGACACAATTATGCTGTACATCGCATGCGCGAAGTCAATAAGGCACAAGTAACTTCCGGCCGTATGTCAACATGGCAGAAGCGTACGACGCCCTGGAATTTCAAGAACTTGACGGTGTAATAGATGTAAGTTATTCATAATTTTAATGAGTTTTTTTAAAATTAGTTATATAACATACCATCGGGAGTATAAACCATTTATTTTCGGACATTAAATTATCCGAACACACGTTTGTGTATCATTTTCTACTACATATTATAAAATTATTATTAATAAATTATGATGACATTCACATTTTATTTAGGACTTGTTATTATTTTTATTTATTGTTTTGTGTATATTGTTGTTAGCCTTATGGCATGTCCGTGCCAATTTTGGCTGGTTTCCCAGTGCCCTTTTCCTGTTTATAACGAGGGGTTTTACATAGGCTAAGCCTGTTCCCCAATCCCATTCAGACATCCTGAATAAAAATATTGTTTATAAAAAAAAATGTTTATTCTTTACTACAGCTTTTCTTTGCTAAAGATTTGTTTGAGACATCTCAACCTGTCGTTCCAGTAGCATCCGTAAGTTTTCTACATATACAACATACATACATATAGTCACATAGTGTTCGTAGCAAATGGGCAAGTTTTGAAACTCATTATAGTCTCGACCATGTCTATATATTTTTTCTCTTCTTAAACGATCAAATTGCTTTGGAAATGAAATGATATGGGGTTTAACGTCCTACTGTTCTGCGCTCCTATGCTGGGCTAATGAAGACGGGCATACGCCATAAGTTGTGATTTAAGGGAAAGTTTGCCCCGGCAGCGGCACTATCACCTATTCTTATATCGAATTCCAACTGCCAAGGGATCT